CCCCAGGGGTGGGGGAGTGATTTCTTGCTTTCTGTCTCTCTCTCTCTGTCTCTATATGTAGAGAGCACAAGTGCCCTATAGCAAAAAAATCTCTCTTAAAAAAATGCAGCATTGTGTTGCACTCTGAGCCCTGGGGAGGTAGGATCATCTGATATACCTCTGATTTGAATGTGTCAGTTTAGCTGGTACCTACTGTCTCAGAAGCTGCTAGAGACCCAGAAGAGCATGGTAGAGATCCACCTGCCTAAGCCTCACCCTCAGGGGTCAGAGGGCAGGTGAGCTCCAATGAACCGACTACAGTGAGAAAGTATAAGAGACTTTGGTACTTACAGACCCTGGGTGCACACAGCATGCCTGCAGACTGCACACTCTCAGAATTCAGGGAGTTCAGGCATGGGGAGTAAAGGCAGTGTGAACAAACACCTTTGTTGACTCAGGGTGTTACCCAGACAAGGTTCCCATGGGCAGCTTTAATCTGGAAGCTTGAGTTTTAATCAGTGGAACAGAACAAGCTGGAATGAGTTCCAGGAAATCCCTCTGTGACTGGGAGGTGGTCATGTCAAGTTCAAGGACAAATGCCCAAAAGGTCTGAATGATCCATTTTAAGGAAGTTACAAGAAGGCAGGAAGCCGAGTCTGCTGGGCTGAGGAGATACTCTTACTTCCCACCACATGCTGGAGTCATAGCATGGGGCAGAAAATTGAAAGTTGCCTCAAAATACTGAACACTGAGCATTGCTTCTGGCATGAGAAAGTTAAACTTACATTGAAAAAAAAAAAGAGTGGCAAGGCAATATAAAATTGTAAGTCCTCACTAAACCTCTGTCGGACTTCCCAAGAGGTCTTTCAGGGTAAGTTTCTGCTAACTGACCAAGTACTTGCAGAGTGAACCTTGTGCACAGGGGAAACACTAAATTTCCTCTCTGCAAATAGGCAGACAACAAATAGAGAAAGGAGGAAAACATAGCAAGGTAGTACGACCAGAAGATGAAAAGGTTAACAATAATCATTTATAGATTATTAGTAATCTAGTCTCCCCCAAACTTTGTTTTGTTGAAGATGCACAATGGCAGGTAGGCCTATCTGTAAGCTCAGCATGTTCTAAATGTGGAGTTCATGACTGATCCTCGTCCTCCTTCTTCTTTTGCTCTGGGGACTTTATGGAGCTTGGCACATTGGGTCATCTCATCTAAGTGAGGCCACTTGCAATGTTTCTCAGTCAAGGAGTTGACTCTCACTTCAACCTGGCCCCACCTCTAGCAGCTTTTCCTTTCACTGGAATCCGGATTCACAGTAATATTCTTCCGCACAGCAGAAGGTATCAAATTTCAAAATCTCCCCAGCTTGTTTATGATTTTGATGTGGGATGAGATAGTCATAAACACAATGTCTCCCATAGAAACTTGAGGCAGAAATTGATGCCATGTTAACAGAAACATATCACACCACATTTACAGAGAAACAGAAGGGGGAAAATAACTCACATTTGCTTTGACAAAGGAAATCAACAATTTCCTCTGGTAATTGGTATTTGCCTAAACCTCACTTTTAGCCAACTAAATTTTTGTGGACTCTGAATAATTATCTGTCTTTAGTTTCTTGGCTCCAAAAAAAGATGCGCATGCCCTACTTAAAAGAATTACCCCAAACAGAACAGCTCACAGACACCAGCCTGCTTTGTCAGGAAATTCCATCCCTTCTCAACCATTTTCTTTAATGGATAAATGTGACAAAAGGGTGACTGATAGTCACAGATGACCCCACATGTTCTTTTTTAGTGTACACTCCTCAAGTTTTGTAGAAAGCCAGATCCCTAAACAGTTTCAACCATGCTGGAAAAAAACGTGAAACACAGTTGCCCCATCCCGTTTCCCATAGTGCCTTTGGGAGACCATGACAGAAATCCAGTCCCCGGTCTCATGTTCAGCTCTCACTTCTTGCTGCCCCAGGATTCACGTAGGCCTATGTAGTCATTCCTGGGCTGATCTGCTGCTGCCTTGCACCTTCTCCTGGGAATTCTCAGCTCAGCTTGCAGGCACCTCTAGCTCCTAAGGAATCTTGTTTCTTACAATTATGGGGTTCCTTAGTGGGTGACCATGATAGGAGACCATAAAATTCCCTGGAGAGGATGCCCATATGTGAGGTGTGTGTGGGTTTAGAGGTGCTGCTAAAGAAGCAAGAGGCAGGTACAGAAGAAAGGATGATTTATCAGAATAGTTTTATAGAAAGTTTTAACAGTAACATCTTTGACCAAGTTTTCTTAATGAAAGGTACTTCTGTATTTCATTACCCTTAAAAGGGCATTGTGTCTATGACGGGAGGGGACCACTCTTGTCACTAAACTCTCTCTCTCTATTCCGTTTTGCTCCTTAGACTCTGAATATTTCCTTGAGTCACTTTGCAGAAGCCTGGCTAAAGCCAAATATACATTTAGAAATCCAACAGCCGGGACTCTCACCTCAACTCTGTGTAGGTGGCTTTACACTTGATAGGAAATCTTTCTGCAAGAGGCACCATTTGCACGCTGTGAACAGCTGTGCCACAATTAAGTTTCTAACTTGGCAGCTCCTGAAGTTATTTAAAAACCAACTTGTTTCAGTTTCGTAGAGAAACCAAGTGGTTAAACCTTGACCAGCAAATTCAGAGGTGGCTTGGGATGACAAAGAACCTCAAAGGGAGAGACGGACTTAGAGAAAGAAGGGCTACTCCATTGCCCCAGTCCTCTGTGCTGGGGCCCCAGTCACCATTTTCTGTCCTTCCAGCAAACTTTATTTCAATAGCAGGATCTTTAATTAATACTAATAACTAGGGAAAGTTAATGAGCTTATAGTTTTCCCTTGCAAAAACCTGCCTCTGGTTCTCTAAATTCTTTTTGTTTTTCAGATATATTTTTATTTTAATTATTTGAGGATATGTAAGACACTTTTAATGGGTCACAGAAGTTATGGGTTTGAAAATTTGAAGACAGTTCATGACAAAACACTTAAAATGACCATAATTGATGGAAATGCCATTCTCCCTTAAATTAGATTTAAAACTTTTTTCAAAGAATTACTTTATTTTCTTTCTTTATTTTAATTTGACCAGAGAGGGACAGAGTGAGAGAGAGAGAGAAAGAGAAAGTAAATGAGAAAGCAAGCTGCCAGATCCGGGACCCAAACCGTGTGGGAGTCCAGCCCCCTTAACCACCACACCACCTGCCGGCCCTGAGATTTAAACAGTTTTTAATTGCCAGAGGGGACATGTACTCATCAGAAAGAGACAGAGAGAGGGAGAAAGCACATCCCAGTGGGGTATGGTCACACCACAATCCCTTTTTCTCCATCCTGCCCAGTTTTGACACATAACCAGTAGGTCCTTTAAGCCATCAGAGCCAGGACTTGAACCCATGGTCAGTCATGTTGGATCTAGCTCCCCCAGTCACCACACTTACAGGGCTGGCCTCAAAAGAGATTCTTAAAGCTATGATTTTAGGGGACCAGCAAATGGCATAGCAGGTATGTCTCTGGACTCCAACATGCTCAATTGCAGTTTGAATTCTGGACCCAACTCCTGAGAGGAGAATGGAGGAGAAGGAATTGTGGCATGGCCATACCCCCGGCGGGGGAGTGGGGTGATTTCTCACTTTCCCTCTCACTATCTCTCTTGCTTTCTCTCTCTGAAGAACACTCATGCCCCAAAGCAAAAACCTCTTTAAAAAAAGAGAAAGTTATCATTTTATAAAGTCCAATAAATAAATAAAACCCTAAGTCTCATAAATAATCTTTTATTATCTCCTTAATTTTATGCCAAATACCATTTTTAATCCCCCAAATTCTTGGACTGATAAATTATTCTGCATTGAAATAAATAACCATTACAAAAAAGAGAAAGCTAGAAATTCACATGGTTTTCTAATTAAAAACATACAGAACTAGCTAACTGAAGAAATAACAGCATAATAAGAATCTGTCTATTCTACTTCCTTCCAATGAGCTGACTGCTGACGAAAACATGAGTTACATACACTGGTCATTTAGGAAACTCATGTCCCAAACTTCTTTAGGTCGAAGCATGGAAATGTTCTCTCAAGTCACAGATCCAGCTGAATGGACTCACCAGGAAAAATGACGTTAGTGTCTGATCTCTGCTGTATCAGGGTTTTATACTGTGTTGAATGAGACAATGCCAAAGGCATTGCTACCCTGAAAAGCTGGGCTCCCATCACAGCGAGCACACATGTAGGTCCATGTAACATGGATTTGTCCTCAGTCCGTATCTCACAGAAAACCTATGATTATGGCCTTGGGAAGAGTAGAGCGTGCTGGTTGCTCAAAATGACTTTTCGGAAGCCAGCTAATTAGAACTTATTTGAGAAATTAGAGCTCAAATAAAACGGCTTAGGCTTGTCAGGGGAAACAAGAGCTGAACAGTAGGTAAACTAAGCAAAACAGACTTTGTTCCAGACTATTCCAGTAAGGAAGAAAGACCTCAGTGTAGAACCAGGTTCTACTCTGAATCCAGCATGGGCCAGTGGGAATGGACAGCTGAGCAGCAGAGTGGGTCGGTGGATGGAAAATTACCAAGATCTATCTGAGGTAAAGGAGACCCTGGGTAAACTGAGTGCCAGGAATTTTGCTCAAGACAGGCCAGGGCAAACAGACATGACCTGAGATGTGGTGGAGGATGAGGAACCAGATACGTTATCAAGAATGATCAGACACTCCCCATAGTGGTGCGTGCTGCTGAGACATTGCTACACAGAGGCTGAGGCCATATGGGTGGAGGACAAGGAACCTGGTCAATTATTTAGGATGATCAGTTATGGTGGCAGATGCTCCAGGAAGCTAAGGCATGATGAGAGGCCCAGGTTCAATTCTTGGTACAAGTTAAACAGGCCAGGGGAAGTGGTACTCCTGTGATTCTAGCTAACTGGGAGGCTGGAGCAGAAGGGTCACAGCAAAGCGATATCCTGGTGGTAATGGTGGTGGTGGTGGTGGTGGGAGAGGAATCTCTGTTTCTCAAAAACAAATATTTTTAAAAGATATTAAGGTTGAACACTTCTCTCAGAACTTGCTTAGCAGGATTCTTAACAAAACTGGATTTTGCAAGAGATTGCACAGTGGCCGAGGAGATGTTTCCACCCATTCCTCTCAAAGAAAGGCGATTTTGCAAGAGGATTTTTTGTTTGTTTGTTTAATTTCAATGCCTTTGTTAACAGGTGCTCACGGTTACAGTGGTGGTGACTGGGGCTGGCTGCGGCAGCTGCATCTCCCCCCAGGGTGTGATGATAACTAGACCGGCGGTGGTGGAGCTGCTCAGGGCTCTCTGGGGTCCGCTCTCCGCTCTCCGCTCCTGCTACCGATCGAACTCTGCAAGAGTTTTAATGAGAAGTCATCAGATATCCACTTTATAGTCTTGGTATGGTTCCTTTTGACTTCTTTTTGTTTCCCAGTCTTCAAAAAAAATCTTTAAAGGGCTCCCATTTTTCTTTAGTTAATAAAGTAAGAAAGATTGCGTTGACAAGATTAAATTCCCAGGAACTTCCATTCTTTAGGGATAAATTGTTGGTAACATCACTTAAAAAAATGTCTTGAACTGGGGCCAGTAGATGGAGTAGCGGCTACTTCACTGGACTCCCACATGGCAAACTGCGGTTAAAGTACCAGACCCAGTGACTTAAAACTCACACCAGATATGCATGCATGTGTACCCAAGATCCCAGGAGAAGGGATTACATCATGGCCACCCACTTTGGAGTGTGATTTCTCACTTTCCTTCTCACTGTCTCTGTCTCTCTCCCCCTAGTGAGCACACATGCCCATAAGGCAAAAACCTCTTAAAAAAAAAAAAAAAAAAAGTCTTGAACTTGATGGGATTTAAGGTGAAAAATGAAGTTTATATTTTTTATTTTTATGTTTTAATTCCACTTTTCCACAGACTTCTTGAAATGCTGCATAGAGCACAAAAATAACCATTATGAAAGAAAAACAGGCATTTTGATCAAGCCATATAATGAAAAAGTTTTCAGAAAAGAGGTCATGACAACTTGGTTGGAGAATAACAGTTGGTATCCCTGATGGTAGCCTGTAAGAGTAGCAGATAGATACTTAATAGCCTCTGAGGATAGATGATTACAGTCAATCAAGGCGAATCAGAAGCAGAAAAAAGTTCGCTAGATAACAGCAAAATACAGAGAAAAGCACGGATGTCAAGACTAAGGAAAGCGAGTAAAAGTAAATGGGAGTGAAAAGAGTTAAAAATAATAAGGCAGAAAATTGTAGGTATGAAAGAAAGATTTAAAAATTATCTAGGGGCTGGCAGGTGGCGTGGTGGTTTAGGGCATTGGACTTCCACATGGCCCACCACGGTTCAAGTCCTGGACCTGGCAGCTTGTTTTCTCACTCCCTCCACCCCATTCTGTCCTGCTCTGGTCAAATTAAAATAAATAAATAAATAAAAGTTAAATAATAAAATACTTCTTTGGAAAAAAATGCAATCTAGTGATAACTGAACACAGTGACATTCCCAGAGAGGGGTGTGCCAGAGAGGGCCTGGCAGCTCCGCACCCTTTCCCACATACCCTGCCCCTATGTATCTTTTCATCTGTATCCCTTTAAGATATCTTTTATCATAAACCAATAACCGTAAAGATAGTAGTAGCAGAATTTCACATACACACACACACACGCAAAATCAAAGAGTCATTTGGAGCATTTGGGTTCAACACCAAGATATAAGAGAGATTGGGACAATGAGCAAGTTTTAGGAGACTGCCCTAATGCAGGAGAACTTCCTCTTGATTGCAGAGGTGGAGGAAGAAGAACCACTGGATATATTCACTTTGAAAAAATTCTTCTAGGGAATGACTCTCCATGCAATTCAATACTATAATTTAATACTGTACAATAGTCACACTGCTGTACAGTACCTCTCCAGAACATATTTATCCTGTGTAGCTGAATGTGTGCATCCCTTGGCCAGCATTTCCCCTATTTCCTCCTCCTTCCTGGTTCCTGACAACCACCCTTCTACTCTCTGTTCCTATAACTGAATATTTTCGATTCCTCATGTAAGTGGAATCATGTACTATTTGCCGTCTGTGACTGACTTATTTCATTTAACACAATATCTTTCAGATTCACCCATATTGTCACAAATGGTAGGGAGTTCATGTTTATTTTTATTTGTTTCTTTTTTTTTTTTTTTTTAAGCTTTTGCTGTAGGGTGTTATGCTTGCCAGAGAGAGAAATAGAGACAAAGAAAAAGAGAGAAGAAAAATGAGAAATCACTCTCCAGGGTGAATGGCATACCCTAATCCCTTCTCCATTGTCCTCTCAGGATTTTGGGCACATATGTACATGTGTCCAGTGTGTTTTCAAGCCACTGAGTCTGGGACTTGAACTGTGCAGTCAGCCATGTAGGATCCATCTGCCTTAACCACCACACCACTAGTTGGCCTGGTTCCCCCTTGCATTGTGTGCAAACAGAGAAAACGCGATACATATATATTCTTTATCCATTCATCTGTTAGTGGGCATTTAGGTTGTTTCCCTATCTTGACTACTATTGTCCACACCCATCTTTCTTTCTTTTTTTTTTTTTTTGATTGTCCACATATATTTAACAATATAGTTTTACACAGGATACTAAGAGCACTTTTCTTTATAAGTTACAGGAGGGCTTGAAACATATAGACTTTCTATTAATATTCATACCATAGCACAACCAAACCTAACTCCTAAATAGATGCATTACAATTTGTTTAAAGGCTTAATGGCAATAATCAGGGGGAAGAGTATGTACATTAATTTTACATAACTGACTGCAAAATCAATTCAAGAAATGGTAAATAAAATTTAATATGTCTCATGCACCCTGAAGGAGGTGGTCCCTGACTTGGAGGGGTCATTGCTATATCCAAATAACTTCCTATTTGGAACTTTTGTGACTGCAGCGTCATGGAATCATCAGTCCCCTTTCTGCCGGACGTGGTGCTGCCAATGTCCTTAACTTGATAGCCAGGCCTTTTAAGGTCTGTAAAAAAAAAAAAAAAAATTGCAAAATTGAAGCGTGTGCCCTTCTTTCTAGTTTCTGGGTAGACATCTTTTACAAAACTAGTCAGTTCTTTCAAGATGGCATCCATCCAAGTGTAGCTATGCAGTTCGCTGGATGGTACATTTCCGTAGGAAAACTTGTCCATTTTTTGGTCGTGTTGACCATTACTGGTGGTGAAAACCCACAGCAAGAGAGGGCATGTCTTCCTGCGGCCTATTGGCTTTTCAGGTTCCTTCTGAATTTCCTCCGGGGTAAGGCGCAACTCCACGGCCATCTTTCTCCTATGTCCCCGGAGAAGTTCGCCCTGACCTCTGATCCCTGTGGAGAGCATGAGCCCCTGCCCCACACCCATCTTAATCTACTTCATTTGGTCTCCAGTAACTGCTCAACGTCAAACAACAGCCAGCACTTCTTGCGCTCAACTACTGTTATTTTGGTCACCTAGCGCTTTCTAGTGAGGACAAGAACAATTGTTATAAAACTCTTAATTTAGAAATAATATCGAAGGGTAATATTCTTTTTCTAAATAATTATTTATTTTATTTTATTCATTTGTTTATTTATTTATTTTAGTTTGATCAGAGAGAGACAGAAGGTGAGAATGAGAGAGGAAGTGAGAAAGCAAGCCACCAGATTCAGGACTCGAACCCTGGTCGGCCATGTGGGAGTGTCCAGCACCTTAACCACCACGCCACCTGCTGGTCCCGGTAATATTCTTTATTACCAATAGTATCTGGTTTTGCTCTGGTTTCCTCTATTTATTTCAAATTTATTTTTAAATTGTATGTCATTATGTAAAATACCTCCATTTGAACTAAATAAACAAAACTAAATAAAAATAAAAATATGGAACTTGCGTGTGTGGTAAAATCAGTGCTTAGAGGTAAATTTGCAACATTGAAGGAATATATTAGAAAAGAAGAAAGATCTAAAATCAGTGACCTAAGCTTCTACCCTAGAAACTAGAAAAAAAGAAGAGCAAATTAGATCCACAATAAACAGGAGAAATGAAAGGAAGAAAAGAAAGGAAAAGAAAACCAAAATCTAAGAAACCGTTAGAACCAACAGCAGCCTAAGGAGACATGATGACTAAATGTAATATATAACATGGTTTCCTGGCTGGGATCCTAGAGCAGAAAAAGAACACAAGGGAAAAACTAAGGAATTTTAATTATGGACTACAGTTAGTATTATACTAGTGTATCAATCTTTGTTAATTAATTATAGCAAATATACCTTATTACTATTGGCTATGAGGTAATGAAGAGTATACGTACTGTCTTCAAAATTTACACAATTCTGAAAATTCGAAGGAACCGTAAAATAAATAGAATAAATTCTTTTAATGGCTATACCCATATTGTCAAAGAGCTACAACAGTTCAGGAAAAAGTACGGGAAGCTCCGCAGCACAGGAAAACGGACACTTTTCTTTTTTCTAATAATGACGCGTCTATCTTTTCCTCTTAGGTAAGAACAGGAGATGAAATCAGGCATGCAGTAAGTGAAATCATGGCCCCTCTCCAAAGACGGCTATGTCCTCACCCCGGAACCTGTGAATATGTTACTGTGCCATGGCAAAGGTGAATTAGGCTGCAGATAACGTTAAAGTTGATACTCAGCTGACCTTAAGTTAGGGATATTCTCCTGTCTTAGCACAAGTGGAGGTTGAAGGGATGCGATGCGAAAAGGACTGGATGGAGGAAGGCGCCTGAACCATGGGATGTGGCGACCTCTAGTGTCTGAAAAAGGCAAGGAAATGGATTCTTCCCTCCTCTCCAGGAAAGAACGTAGCCGACTAGCACCTTAATTTTAGCCCAGTGGCACCCAATTCTGACCTTCAGAACTGTAAGGTAATGAATTTGTGTTATTTTAAGTAATAAAGATTGTAGCAATTTATTACAACAGCAATGAGAAATAATGCACCAGGGAGGTTGAAAGTGACCTTCTGACACCTCCCTTGCTTTTTCTAAGGCTGGAGATTTGAGCTAGAGCTTGGAGTCATCTCCAAAAATAAATTTATACCTTTCTTTGAATGACCCATCTTTGCTTTTGTTCCCTGTCCAGCCATGGATGCTTTTCATAAAAGTAAAATTGGATTTGGCTTTTTGTAGCTAATTAGGTCAGAAAAAATCTGATAGCAATATAACTTAGAGCATATTAAAGCAGTATTGTTTGAATACTTCTAGAACAAAAATAGCACTCACATTTAGCAGAAAATAGATGCTTCTTAATATGTAAGTATAAAATAACAATAAAAGAGCAGGGCATGTGTCCCTTTCCCTGAGGCTAATGACAAAACCCTATGAAGTGTCAGCAGGGCCCTGTCCCAGTGGAACCGTGCCCTATCCTTTCAGGACTTCTGAACTGAAAGTCTTACCAGCCCCTCTGGGCACCAGTCAAGGTGCAATTCTACACTCAGGTCCTACCCTTGGGCTGGGAAAGATTTATAGTAGTATTCATCTTTCATTCTCCTCACTGAGCTCTGAGTTAGCCAGTATATGAATTCACATGTGGCTTCATTTCACTCTAAGCCAGACTTGCTGAAGCACTGTCCTACCGAACTTGGGTGCTAGGGGCTCCACAATGGGCAGTCTGCTGGGTTCTTGTGACACCCTCATCACATCTGCGAGGACAGGGCATCTCTGACCTTGCTTCAACTTCCAGCTAGTGAAACCCTGGTCTTTCTGTCCGCATCACTTCTCTTCTTTCTCTGCCATTCGATCCTCTTAGACCCCAGCTTAGAGCCTGGACAACCCATACTCTGAAACCGTAATAGGAAGTGAACTAAAGGAAGGGCAAAAATAAAAAATATAGGGCCAGCAGGTAGTGTGGTGGTTAAGGTGGCTGGATCCTACATGGCTAACGGGGAGGTTCAAGTCCCAGACTCAGTGGCTAGAAAAACATACTGGGCACATTGCATGTGTGCCCAAAATCCAGAGAGGAGAATGGAGGAGATGGGATTGCAGCATGGCTATATCCCCTGAGGTCATCCCCCCTCCCTCTTTCTTCATCTCTCTCTGGCAAGAGCACATGCCCTGCAGCAGATTACTAAAAAAAAGAAAAAAGTTTTGAGATGTCCATCTAGGAGACTACTGAACATCTAAATAACTCAAACAACTGTTTTTGTTGTTTGTATACATACACATATTTATTTATAGAGTTGCTCCCTTTACATTGTATCTTATAATTACTAATAGTAAGATTAGTAAATAGCTGAAGGTCAATGTAACTGGCCACTCATGGAAAGATGGTTCCTTAGAATCAGCAAGACCAGCCCTGCTAAGACTGAGTTCACAACTCATGGATGGTCAATGTCAGGGGTTGGGGGTTCTGGGTAAATGCCAGGGAATTGCTGTCCAAACTCATCTCCCCAAGCCATAAGTGCACCCTTGACTATACCTGAAGTTGTAACATCTTTTGGTACATTACAGTGGGCTTTTGGCATGAGTGTGTGGTCTAAACATTGTTTTCAACCCACAAACTAAATCCCTGTGTCATTCACTATTTGATTTTTCAGTAGTAACTTTGCTCTACTCTTGGTTCTTCCTCTGACCTTGATCCAAGTTCAATACCGTGAACTCTTTTCTTGACCTATTTCTAAGCTCTTATCTTAATTTTCTAAAGACAATTCCTTTTTCTCTGAATTAGGATCTTGCTTCTATCCTCCAAATACACCAACACCTGACTAATTTAAGGAGAAATTAGGTGCCCATTAACTTTGGGCATAAATTTGTAAATTACCTATATTATCATTATCATTATTTTGAAAAGAATTATTTTTAGTTAACTTTATTTATTTATATTTGACCAGAGAGGGACAGAGAGAGAGGGGAAGAAAGAGAAAGAGAGATAGAGAGAGAGAAAGCAAGCTGCCAGGTCCAGGACTCAAATTGTGGTCCTCCACATGGGAGTCCAGCACCCTAACCACTATGTCACCTGCTGGCCCCTATCATTATCATTTAAAAGTGTAATCTGGGCCAGCTCCATGATGCAGCAGCCATGAGTTGCTCCAGAGAAGTCAGATTCCACATGGCAATCACAGTTCAAATTCTTGGCTCAGCCTGCCTGAAACTTGCCAGGCACTCATGTGAGTGTCCAAGATCCCATGGACTGGAGAACTGGAGGAAGAGGGTTGCAATATAATCAGACACTGGAGAGTGTTCCTTTCTCTGCTCCTCTCGCTGTCATAAATAATGAAAAAAAAAATCATTCTGAAAGCGAAATCGTTTTTGCCTTCTAAAATAATTTACATATAAACATATACCCTGCAAAACAAATCACCAGGTAACACATTGGGCTGCACAGAAGGACAAGAATGACGAAACTGATACCTGCCAAGCCAACGGGTCATGTCTCTGAATTCAATCAGCAAGTCATCATCAAAGCAGTTTGATCAGGCGTCAGGACTGAATGCAGCTTTTCAATGGAATCATTTCGAAGACATACACATACTAGGTTTGTATGCCATGAGTAAATTGCAAATTTCACCAATTCTTTTCTTAAATTTTTAGAATAATAATTTTTTATACATTCAATTGCTATACACCAATTAGCTTGCAGAGAGAATTTATCCAACATGAAATACACCTCAGACTCGTCCAGTTGAAAATACGATACATATCATCATCAACAAGTAATGAAACATTTCTGTGTCCCACAAATGCCTTATCTATTTTTCCTCCCTGGTTCCCTTCCCTGCACTCTTCCCCTCTCCCACCTTCCTTCCACACGGTCTCCAGTGTCCATAACTATTTTCAATGCTTTTATGTCCTCCATCACCCCACCCTCTTCTCTTGTGGGAAAAGACAATTAACCCTGAGATTTTATAGCAAGAGGACTCAAGGCTACAATCACAGTCTTCCAAAGCTGCTATTCATCCCCCAGTGTACAAAGAGCAGTACAGACCGAGTTCTCCAACTGGTTCCAGAAACTCCTTCCTGGCTAACATGGCTCATAAGATCATGCAGAAATATGGCTTCTGGGAAGGCCAGGGTCTCAGGAAACATGAGCATAGACTGAAGACCGCAGTGTCTGTGGAGGTCAGCAGCTGGGTGGCAAGACCTTTGTGGGTGCTGTCTCAGAAAAGGATACACCCAAGAAATTGGATTCAAATTCATTAACTAAAATACTTAGATGCCTTACTGAGGTGGTCCTATTAAGAACATGGTTGGTGCAGCTATGGTAGATAAAACCTGGAAGTTGAAACCAAGGAAGAATGAGAAAAACATGGAAAAGTTGAAAAATGTGTGATACGTGAAATGTCTGGTGCCCCTCATGATGAGGCAGTACGGATATTTTTAGAATTTGAGATTGAATCAGCAATTAAAGCGGTTATTGATCGGAGTGGGAGATATTTTGGTGGACGTGGTATAAGCATGTTTCTGCGTCTTGTATAAATTCATGGTCTTGACAGAACAAATTAGATTTTAAGAACTAGAGCATGAGTCATCTCTGATAATCCTTAAATTTTTAGATCTGCAAGCTGAGCAAAGAGAAAAGGCAATCATCTCCACTGGATACTGAGACTTTTGGAAGGACTTCTAAGATATATGTTGACTGATCCCTTATTTATTTATTTATTTATTTATTGTAAATATAGTATAAAAATCCTTAAAAGAAAAAGAATGCCTACTGTTGGCCAGATGCATAACAATTTCAAATATTTTAAATAAAAACACCTTTTAACCATAATAGGTATAGTAGGTCCAGAAAGTCTCTTTAGGAACTATGAGGATCCTAAGTCTCTAATGAAACTGAGAAGTGTTATTCCTAGGAAGAAAAAGGAAACTGTCCTTGCTCAACAAGCAGCCTAAATAAAGTCAGGGATACACATTTCTCCGTGCCCCTAAGTGCCTCGTCTATCTCCTCGGTAAACAGTCCTATGCAACACATCCTGTCTTCTCGTCCTCCTTCCCTTCCTTTAAAAAATAACTACTGAGCACCTACCCGTTCTAGAACATTAGTGATAAGAAACGGAGAACCCAGCAATGGTTCTCTACATGGGCCCCAGGGCTCTATGGAGCTTCCTCCGTAATCTAGATCTGTTTGACTCTTTCCATTGCTTTCAAAATTTTCAATGATACATCTTTTGTTCTTGATTTTAAACTTTAAAAATTTAAGTTTGTGACTAATAATGTCAGTACCTGGATCTGAGTGTTTTCTACTTGGCTCTTATTTCCTTGATATTCAGCTACTACTGGTTTGACTTTTCATAGGTCAGATTTTCCCCATTGAGTTCTGGATATTGTGTATACGAAAAAAAAAAAATCAGGGTAATTGCAAGCCTGTGATTTTTTTTTTTTTTTAATCAGAGATGGTAACTGCTTGCTTTTTTTTGTTTTTTGTTTATTTGTTTGTTTGTTTTTGCTTTTTCCAAGAAACTAGGAGACTAGTTATCTCAAATTGCCCTAGTAAAAATGGGCTTTGAGACTATTCCAGGCTGGTCCTAAATTCCTCCAAGAGTTGGCCTGTTCCTCATTCACCCTGATTTAAAGCCTAGGTAGTTTCGCCTAGGTCCTTCTCACTCTGTAGGTCCTTACATCTGGCCTTGCTCCCCTATTCTTTTCCCTCTGTCAAAAACCCTGCTCTGCTTCTCAGTATCTCTACTTCTCTACTTCGATTGGGCAAGGCCCCTTGAAAAGCCTTTTCTTGGGAACCAGCAGTTAGCGTAACGGCTATGTCGCTGGATTCCCACGTAGTCGACAGCGGTTCGCGTCCTAGACCTGGTGGCTTAAAACTCACGCCGGGCGCATGTGCGTGCGTGCCCAAGATCCCGAGAGGAGAATGGAGGAGAAGGGATTGCGGCGTGACCATCCACCCTGGGGGGTGATTTCTCGCTTTCTGTCTCTATGTCTCTCTCTGTCTGGCGAGTGCACGCGCCCTATAGCAAAAACCTCTCCAAAAAAAAAAAAAAAAAAAGCCTTTTTTCTTTTCATTTTGCTCGATACTTCATTTTAGAGCTGTTTGATCTCAGACACATCTGTGTCCAGGTTTTGCAGGTGACTTTACAGGTGTTATTGCAAGTGGGCTGTTACTGTCTGGTCTGTCATTTTTTTGCATTGAAGCTAAAACAGCTTTTGACATGAGCATTCTGAATGCTGTTAGGCACCCTAAGTGTACATGAAATGAGGCCTTAAAAGATCCTAAAGTGTAAGTTTAAATTTTCACTCATGAATTCATACATTTACTCATTCAGCAGTTTCTGAGATGCCACTTTATACTATAATTTAGATTTGTGAGTCCTGGAAGGATTCTCTAAAATGACATTTACAGTAAGGGGTTAAGAATAAGTCAAATTGGGGCCAGCAGGTAGTGTGGTGGTTGGGGTGTTGGACTCCCACATGGCCAACATAGTTTAAGTCCTGGACGTGGTAGCTTGCTTTTTCATTTTCTCTCTCTCTGTTTCTCTCTGGTGAGCGTTGTGTGCCCTGTAGCAAATTAGAAAATAATGATTTTAAAAAAAAAGTCAGATTCAGCCTGGTGTAGACTCAGGGATGAACATTCCAGAAAGGAAGAGTATGAAAACACTGAGATGAAAGGAGTTTGACACCTAAAGCCAAGAGATGAATGGCCCTCACAGTCAGAATTGGGCTAGCTCCCTTGGGTGGGAATTTCCTTTCCTACTTCATACTCAGTATGCACACATCACCTGACATCTCACTGCTCTGTTCTCTTAGGTCGTTGGGAAAAGTCATGACATATTTTTGTTTTTCTATGCAAAAATGTGTCATGACTTTCCTGATGACCCAATAGTTGTTCTACAGGGGTAGCAGGGAAAGTTCTTTTACTACAGCACAAGAGGGATACATGCAGGCAGATGCTGGGTGTCAGCTACTGGGAGGGGCCCATGGCCACAGGGTCAATGCACTGTTGGCGTTAACCTTGCTGTCTTCTCTGAGTGAAGCCTTGTTACAGGGCTTGTTTTGGTTGTTTCCCTTGGCAACTCTAATACCAGGAAGGGCAGAACTGCTAAGGTTCCTATGCCTGGTGATAGGACACAGATTTTACTTGTATGTCATTAATTCTGCATTTTTTCACATATTGAACTGTTGCTTACATGAAGTTTTTTGTTTGTTTATTTTTGCTAGAGGGCAAGTGAACTCATGAGAGAGAGAGCAAGCAAGCACCCCCTCTTACCCCACCACCCCATGGGCAGTGGTGACACTGCAATCTCTTCTCCATCTCTCCCTCCCTTTGGGACATTGGGGAGCATGCACACATTCCAGATGTGTTTTTCAAGCTGTTGGGTCTGGGACTTGAATTGCAGTCACCCACATATTTGCCTACTTTAACCAGCAGGCCACAGAACCAGCCCAAGTGTATAAATCTTAAATGAAAACTTCTATTGGTTCTGACATGTATGTTCACTTGTGTAACCAACACCCAATCAAGACAGAATATGCCCATTCAGAGGGTGCTGCTGCATGGTGGCCAAGGTCATGTGAGAGGTCCAAGGCTTGGTTCTGTCCAACCTGCATGGGCCAGGTATGATGGCACGTGTCTGAACTCCCACCACACAATCACTCTCTCTCCCTTCTCTTCCCATGTGCTTTCTTTACTGTAGAACAAAGAGTATTTCCAGAATCTCAGAAGGATCCCTGTGCCCCCTTTCGGTCACTAGCTCCATAAAAGTAACCTCTACTCTGTCCTATAACACCTTCAGTTGGTTCTGCTTATTTCTGAACTTCATTTCACTGGACAATGTGTAGTCATTTCTGTCTTTTCACCAAAGGTGTGTATAGGAGATAAACTGTTGTGTGTAGCAGGTGTGTTCTCTTCATTGCCCCTTAGCATTCTAGCTGTCCTGCTGGGCTGGCAGGCTAGATGTGCACAGAGTTCCTATGGAGGGAATATGCTCCAATCACACTGCACCTCGCCTTTATAGAGTAGTGTGGCATCTCACAGTAACGAGTATGCAAATGATTTCCTGGCTCAGAAACAATGCTAGCGAGCCTGCAAACTGAGAGCCAAGGTCTTAATGTGAAGCTAGCAAAGTGGAAATCAAATGGGCCAAAAGAATCATCTATCTAGATTTGTCTCTCTTCAGCTACAAGTTGTTTGACTTTAGTAGACAGCCAGGGTTTTTTGTTTGTTTGTTTGAGAGGTTTTTGCTATAGGGCGTGTATGCTCACCAGGAGACAGAAAGTGAGAAATCACCCCCCCAGGGGGGATGGCCACGCCACAATCCCTTCTCCTCCATTCTCCTCTCGGGATCTTGGACACGCACGCACACACACCCAGCGTGAATTTAAGCCACCTGGTCCAGGACTCAAACCGTGGTCAACTACATGGTCCTCCAGTGACATAGTCATTACGCTAACTGCTGGTCCCTAGAGTGATATTCTTGTAAGGCAGCAGCAGTGATATCTAACCCTTGCTAAGTACATGCACAGTACATTAACAGTCTAAGGATCCACTAGCTGTCCAATTTAAGACACTAACCACACCTGGCTACTGAGTAATTATGTATGCCTTTTGATCTAAAACCACCTAGAAAGCAAAACTAAAGAACTAGAAATATTACATATGCATTTCAAAGTATATGACATTTATGCTTACACCACTACGAGATTAATCTAGTATTGTATTAAAATGTTAACAAACTAGACAACAGTATTAAAATATGGTAATTTTTTTATTGCTTTTACTTTTCAATAAAATAAATACTCGCTACATAGTCTTGTCTGAAATTATAAATTAATTGTTCGGAGTTAACAAGAAATTAATTATTCACTTTGTAAAACTTTAGCTTTTTAAAGAAACTTTTGTTTCACTACTCATTATCATACAGGAAAGCTAAATTATGATTTCAAACTTGAGAAATTTGCTTTAAAAAGTACATTAATCAAGGTATGATTTTAAGTATAACATACATATATTCCACAACCTGAATCTATTTAACATTGATATTAGCGATTCTGTTATTTTTCTCCCCCCAAAAATGTGATCTGTCTTTATGAAACAGCAATTCATAAGTGACTGCCTTCCCAGGGGACATCTGGCACTACCTGGTGTAATTCTAGTTGTCATGGGAGAAAGGGTGCTAATGGCACTTAGTGTGTAGAGCCCGGAGATGCTACTAAAAATCTTACAATGCTCAGGATGAATCATGACAGTGAAGAACTATCCAACCTAAATGTCAATAATACCAAGGCTAGAAACCCAGCTGTAGAGTAGGACTCTATTTTAAGAGTAGTTTCTCTGTCCATGTGAATTCTGAAAATACAGATTTTTGTAATTGGTAAATACTTTAGAAGATTTAAGCTAACCAATCTCATTACCAAATGCAATGGTTGCCTTTAAGTATCAAAATGATACTTCTAGAATGATAGAAGTTAGAACATTTAGCACTTAATTTCCCTTAGGTCTAGACTGCCAGTTTAATCTGTTAATATGGTCAGTTAATTAGATTGGTTTGAAGTAGCCAAGCAAATACTTTCTTTTGCTTATTTTTCTAGACAATGACAAAAATTATATGTAAAATATTTGGTGAACAGAAGAGTACTTTATATGTGTCTGAAAATGTCTTTTACAATATACCAAAACTGGAAAAACTTCATTTATTTGTTCTAATTTGTCATAACTGGGGGTTTGGACAGGGTCAATTTTTATTGTTCTCTCTCACTTTACAGTATTTCTTATAAATGTCTTTTACAAAGAGTAGAACATATATATGTGGTATGTGATACAAAATTACAAGTCAATTTTTTTTTTTCCTACACAAACTCCAATTATAAAGTACCATATGAAAGTTCCCCTAAAGGAACCAAATTTAAAACAAAAACCATTCTAAATTTACTAAGTAGAGAATATTTTCAGTAATCACTCATCTATGCTTTCACATTCTATAAATTTTTTCATGGTCAACAAACTGATTTAAATGGTTTAAGTTATCCCACCATTTAAACAGAAAATTATCTGCAATAATTTTAAACCATGGAGTTAGCTTAACTTCACCAAGGGCTGCTTTTTTCAGAAGTTCCTGCAGTTCTTCCTTTGACACATAACAGTAGCTTTTAATCTCACCAGGATCTGGATTCAACGTTACATTCTTCCTCACAAACAAGATGTAGTCAATTTCGTGTTCACCCCAGATACCATCAGACGGAGCTTTGTAGTACATTCGTGTCAGATAATTAATTTCTTCTGGCGGAACCTAGGACATTAATTTTTTACAGATAAAAACATCAAGAAGGAAAAAAGTAACTAAAAATTAAGTTACATTTTTAACAATATCTTGAACAGCAGTATAGTTTCAGAATTTCTGATGTTATTTGAAAAATTTATATTGATGATATTTGAAAAATTATTACATTGTAGGACCAGCAGTTAGCGTAATGGCTATGTTGCTGGACTCCCACATAGTCGACCGCGGTTCGCGTCCCGGACCTGGAGGCTTAAAACTCACGCCGGGCGTGTGTGCATGCGTGCCCAAGATCCCGAGAGGAGAATGGAAGAGAAGGGATTGTGGCGTGGCCATACCCCCGGGGGGGTGATTTCTCGCTTTCTATCTCTCTGTCTCTCTCTGTCTGTCTGGAGAGCGCATGTGCCCTATAGCAAAAATCTCTCCAAAAAAAAAAAAAAATATATATTACATTGTTAGTTTGAAGTGTCTACATATTTTTTCCACAGGACCAAACACATAATTTATTTTTTATTTTTAAAAAGAGAATCCTGGACCAGCAGGTGGCATGGAGGTTAAGTGCACTGGACCCCCACATAATTCGCATCCTAGACACAGCTTGCTTTCCCTCTCTGTCTCTGTTTCTCTCTGGTTAAATTAAAATAATAATAATGATGATGAATAAAATTAAATAATTTTAAATAAATAAATGGGGGACAATTCCAGAAAAAAAAAAAAAAGATTATTTCGGGTTGGCTCAGTAGCCTAGTGGTTAAGGGAACTCAACCCTAATTGAGTCCTGGACCTAGTGGCTTATAAACATGCTGAGGAAGTGTGCACATGTGCCCCAAATCCTGACAGGATGGAGAAATGGAGGACTGTGGCATAATCATGCTGCATTGTGAAGGATGCTTTCTCCCTTTCTCTCTCTCTGGAGACTGCACATCCCTCTGGCAATTAAAAACAAAAAAAGTTTATTTCAATTTACCCATAAGAACTGTAGTTTATATTTCTAAGGATTCCCACAGGAAAATGTTTATATTTTACTTGGTCAATCATAAAAATAGTTAATGTATATAGTGATTAATAGGTCAATCTAGGTAGTGTGGAGGTTAATAAACTGGAACCCACATGAGGCCAACTGTGTGATTCAAGTTCTAGAGCCGGTGGCTTAGAAATCATGCTGGGTACATGTGCAAGTGTGCCAAAATCCCATGAAGACAATGGAGGAGAAGAGACTGTGGTGTGGCCATCCCCTCTTGGGGGTGACTTCTTACTCCCCTGTTCTCACTGGTAAGTGCATATGCTCTACAGAAAAAATGAAAACTAAATTTTAAAGTTTATTTAAAAAAAAATTTTTTTTTTTGAGAGGTTTTTGCTATAGGGCACATGTGCTCGCCAGACAGACAGAGAGACAGAAAGCGAGAAATCACCCCCAGGGGGGATGGCCACGCAGCAATCCCTTCTCCTCCATTCTCCTCTCGGGATCTTGGGCACGCACACACACGTGCCCAGTGTGAGTTTTAAACCACCGGGTCCGGGACGCGAACCATGGTCGACTACATGGGAGTCCAGCGACATAGCTATTACGCTAACTGCTGATCCCTATTTTAAAATGTTTTAATGATTATTCAGATTTCAGCTTGCATAGTTGTACAATGAAAATCATTACCTCTTCCATGGGAATTCCTAACTCGGCTTGTAAACGCCTCTGTGCTGCTCGTTTTACTCCAATGGCATCGTTCTCTTCAAGCTCGCCTGGGTTACTTAATGGATGACTACAGCAAGTATTGGTAAAGCAACCTGGGAAATGTTAATAAAGAGATTAACTTCTCTTCAAATAGGTCTAAAACAGAAAAATAAATAAAACAATATTTTTGGATTTTAAAATCAGTTATAATGCACTATCAGTAAATATTCTGTGAAATAGACATTTGTAAATAAGCTTGAGGTTAATACCTCTTTCACCAAAAAGATCAAAATGTTTGGATAACAAATGAAAACACATGAGATACACACATCCCTACCCCTTAATAGTTCTTACTCTTTACTGCTCTCATTGTATAAGCTTATTTCAAAGGAGAATATAAAATTGTGTCAATCCGAGCCAGCAGTGGTGTGTTGGTTAAGGGCGCTGGACTCCCACATGGCTGACTGTGGTTTGAGTCCCGGACCTGGCAGCTAGCTTTCTCACTCTTTCTCTCTCGCTCGCTCTTGTTCTGTTCCTTTCTGGGGACTATCTATTAAAATAGATAAATAAAGTTAAATAAAATAATTTTTAAAAAAAATCCTATCACTCATAGGATTTACCTTTTCAATTTTGGCTCCAGAAGTTCAGTGTTATAAAAAGTTAAATTGAATATAGTTTCCAACAAAAATCTATTTTGTACATTAAGTACACTAACCTGGAAAGGTAATTTTAGCATCTGATCTCTGTTGTAGCAGGAGCTTATTCTCACTGTTGAATAAGAAGACACTAAAAGCTCGATGCAACAATCCTGAAAGTATAAGAAATGCTGTTAACTTAATTGTAAAATACCAGTTATTTGCCCGATTCGCCTGTTGCAATCTAGAGTACTAGTAACTTGCTGCCATTTCCTCAACCCCCTACCACCACCCAGTCTTCGATTTGGATAGCCTTGCCAGGACTATGAGGGAGAACTGAGTCATACTGGTGGAGATGCCCAGGCCCAGTCAACCTTCTACTCCTGAGGTTACAAAGGCATATGCCTTTTTTTTTAGAGAGGTTTTTGCTATAGGGCGTGTATGCTCGCATGCCAGAGAGACAGAGAGACAGCAAGAAATCACCCCCCAGGGGGGATGGCCATGCCACAATCCCTTCTCCATTCTCCTTTCGGGATCACACGTGCCCTGCGTGAGTTTAAGCCACCGGGTCTGGGACTCGAACTGCAGTAGACCACATGGAAGTCCAGCAACATAGCCAGTACGCCTACTGCTGGTCCCACAAAGGCACATGCCTTCTTTTAAGATACCTGTCTCTCTCTCTCTCTGCTCAGTAGAAACAAAGGATTGTAGGTTTGCTATTATGTTAGGATTGATCTATTCTCTCTTTTAGGAAACCACAATAACCCTGAGGAAGTGGAGTTATCAGCATGAAATTGAAGAAAAACAGCTGTTAAGCAGGGAAGGCAGATTTTACTACTATACCATTTAACTAACTGGAATCAAGGATAAAATACTGTATGATTAAGAACTCCTTTACTAGAGTACTTTTTTCAGCTAACCTAAAATGTCTAGGCAAATCTCTTTATAACAAAGTATTTTAACACAGTACCTTTCTCAATGTTTTCATTCAGATGACAATTCTTCTTGGTCTCAGCCCCAATTTTATTGTCATTTTCATCAATAAGAATACACATCTCTGCCAGGAGTTGTACCTGTTTCCCATCAAGGTGGTCAGTATTTATTTCAGGCATCCTTACAAAATGTCTGATGTGTCCTAGGATGCTATTTTTAAGAAGAAAGAAAAGTAAATACCTGTATTTCTAAAGTTGATATAAACACACTAGAGCAGCAATTCGGCCATCTCTAAAGGTTATGAAATATGCTGCTCCCCTAACTGTGTCTCACCACTCTTTGCTCCCACCGGGCTCCCCCGAGAATGCTGCTGTTCTACTACTCAACTCTACCTTGGAAATTATTTCTCCCCCTGGCAATCAGAGCTACCCTTTTCCACACACACTCTCCTAACTTCCAAACTCAATCTTCTATTGCGTTGTTCCCCTCTGAGACCCTCTACAGCACTGACAGCCAATTCTCCCTTTCTGCACTTCTCTTTCTTAGTACTCTATCCAACTATGATCTGGCCTAACCTCACTTTGCATCTTATTTTTTCCACAGCTTCTATATTCTCTACCATGTGTTCCCACACCCATCCCAAATACTTTCCCATTTGCTTCCACATAGTTGCTCAAGGATGCCACAGATGCTCAAGGTTTTGATCTTCGTTAAAATCTATTTTCAAGTTCCAATTCATGTGACAAACATTCAGCAACCCTTTATCAATGCTCTAATAAGATTTTATATAGCTTTTCTCAACCTGGACTCTGAATCAGAAAAATTGTGTTTTATCTATTCTCTCAAGAGCAGTAGTACATAGCTAACACCAGTCTAGAAGCAAGAGACAACTTATTTTGTTATATTCACTGGAGGCCTTAAGGTAGTCTAGGTAAAATTTTGCCTTTATACTCAAGAGCAGCCATAAGCAATGCATGTGTGCACCAAGCAGTGAGCACGGCTGTGTTCCAATGAATCTTTACTGATGGACATTGAAATGTGAATCTCATTTAGTTTTCACATTACAAAGTATTTTATTCTTTCGATTTTTCTCCAGTCATTTATAAGTGAAAACACATTCTTATTTATGGACATGAAAGAAACAAGCAAAGAGCCAAGTTGGTCAATAGTCCCTACCTTAGTGCTTTGAGACTTAATTTTTCTGAACCCTACCTATTACCTCTCACGTAACTTTTAAGCACTTACTATATTCTGACTCATACTGTTTGCAAAACTATATCCAGAGATTTCTAAACTCGCTATGTTTTGTATATTTCAGAGTACCTAGTATTTAATACACCATGCCTTCAATGTTTCTTGAATTGATTTTTCTACAATGTATTCTATGTGCTTTGCCTTGTAGGTGGATCCCTTTTAGGATCTTCAGAATTTAGATCTTAAGGCTGAACATAAGCACAAGATAAAATACTTTTATGTATTCGTTTAAAGATGGTATGTACAAGACACGACTGCCAGTGTGAGGACAGCCGTCTCTTGAATCTTGTTCTTGTCACCCTCTTCATGTATGTACGCATGTGGGCGGATCTATACCATACATGGAAAGAGGTTCCACCCTATTTACAGGCATGTCTACACACTACATTGTCTACGCTTGTTTTCTAACTTTCCATAAAAATGGGACGCATACATTTACAGTCTCCTAAGACTTGAATTCACAGTAAAATCGCTACTAAAGCACTGCTGATCCTTTTCCCCCGCTGCTTTATAACGACTGACAAAAGAATTCTCCATTAGAAATGTCAATACCCCCCCCCCCCCAAAAGCACTATTTTCCTAACTCCTGCATACTCATACCAAAAGCCCTGGCAGGGGCTCAGCCCACCAGGGCCGGCGAGCAAACACTCCGGCGCAGCGCACGGAACCGGGTTCTCACTTTCGCTCCCCACAGACGTCCCAGCCCGCTGCTGGCAAGTCTGGTCCCAAAGCCTCCGCAGCCCTGAGGACCCGCACCACGCCCGAGGGACTCCCGCCTCTCCGCGCCTCACAAGCCCTCAGTCCTCCTGCGGCCTCCACGTCCGTACCTCAAGCCGGCGACGCAGGGACTCGGACTCGGACTCGGACTCGCATGCGGGTCTCGAGCGCCGCGCGCCGCCTCCACGCCTCGGCCCCGGGCGGCTCGTCCAATAGCATGCGCCAGCGCCCAGACGTCACAGCCGCGCCACATGGCCTGGCCAATCGCAGCTGGCGCGCGACGGAGTCCACTGCCGCCCCCTGAACGTGGTGCAGTGGCACCACTTTCCAGGGCGCGTCTCCCGGGACGCTCTGGAGCTGTACGCGGTGAGCTGCGTTCTCTGCCACCCAGGAGACGATTGAAGGGGTCGGGCGCCACCTTCCAATCCAGCAAGGAGCAGCACCCCCTGCACTGGCACCCGAGTGAGAGCGCCGACCGCCCGCCCACTGCACCAATCGGCAGGAGGCGCTGCGGTGGGTGCGTGCTGACGTCAGACGTCGCGAAACTCGCGTTGCCGGGACACAGGCCTAAGCGTTGAGTTCTCCGCCTCTAGGAAGCCTGGCGTTCTGTCCTTAAGTCCCGTTCTCGAGGGTAGATCCGGGCCTATGCCTTACTGGGTTTAACGGAAATTAAGAAAAAGCAAGAAATTACTGTTGATATATTAGTGTGGAAGACTCACTGTGCTCCAACAAACGCATACACGGGTTACATTATTGGGAATCTGAAGAATTTGTCTACAATAAGAATTTGTCTACCTTAAAGAACAGTGACATATCCACAGTGCTTTGCAACTACAGAATGTGTGTTTTTAGTGAAGCTGGTTGTAGTAGAGGCAGATTGGGGGACCTTCTGCATTTGGATAGTATCTACCTAAAAAAAGAAGGCTGGGGCAGAGCAGGTAAGACAAAAGAGTTTATTTGGGCCAGTGTTAGAATGATTGCTGGGATACCACAAAATTTTTAGTTACCCTAAATTAACAGATTTCAGAGGCAAAAGTCACAAATAAAATGAGGGGGAGGAGAATAGCAAGCTGTCTTGTATAGCTGTAATTGGTCAAATTCTATTGTATAAGTGGGAACAGGATTACCTATGATCACCTGGAGTCACTTTTTCTTAAGCAGAATGTGGAAGCAGGGAGTCTGCTAAAGGAGATGTGTGTTTGGACAATAAGAATGTTCATGAAACAAAAAGTCTAATGAGCAATATGATAATATACAAGCACACATTCTATTGATCTTCAGAGAGATGATGTCATTGCATATCCTACAGTCTCTGGAAAATTCCACACTACACTCAAGGTAATGAGAGTGAAAAAGGCAATTAACATTTAATTATTATGAAATTAATTTTGACTTTACAGACATCCTGTGAAGTTTTCAGGAGCTCCCCATAGGCCCTTGGACCACTTTTTGAGAACTCCTGGTACAGTGGAAAGCCCACTGAATGTAGAAGACCTCAGTTCTTATCTGGATGCTATGGTTTAAATGTGTGTCTCCTCCAAATTTAATTTTGAAACTTAATCCCCATTGTATTGGTATTAAGTTGGGGGGAGCTTTTGGAAGTGATTAAAACATAAGTGCTTCACCTCATAAAATGGCTGGTAGGTAGTAGAATGTGCCTTTTTTTTTTTCCCATTTCATCCCTTCTGCTATATGAAGGCAGTGTTTGTCTCTCTACTACACCCCAGGAGGATGCAGAACATAGTACCATCTTAGAAAAAGCGACTGAGCACCTCCCCACTAATCCTGGGTTGTTTTGGTCTTGAACTTGCCAGACTTCAGAATTATGAAAAGTGAATTTGTTGTTTACTAATGACTCAGTCTGTGTATTATAACAGTACAAATGGACAAAGATACTGAGCTTTGCTGCTTATAACTGGGTTTAACAGTATAACAGACTAGTGTTCCTGGCCTCATTTCCTTCATCTATAATAGGGGAGAGGTTAGAAAGTTTTTTAAACTTTTTTTTGTTTTTTGAGAGGTTTTTGCTATAGGGCATGTGCACTCACCAGAAAGAGAAATCAGAGATAGAAAGTGAGAAATCACACCCCCTCCCCAGGGGAGATGGCCACGCCTCAATCCTTTCTCCATTCTCCTCTCCAGATCTTGGGCAAACATGCATATGTGCCCAGAGTGAGTTTAAGCCACTGGGTCCAGGACTCAAACTGAAGTTGACTACGTGGGAGTCCAGTGACAGCCATTACACCAACTGCTGGCCCCAGTATTTTTTTTTTTAAGAATTTTGTATTTGACTTTATTTATTTATTTATTTATTGGAGAGGTTTTCGCTATAGGGCGTGTGCACTCGCCAGACAGACAGAGAGAGACACAGAGACAGAAAGCAGGAAATCACCCCCCAGGGGGGATGGCCACGCCACAATCCTTTCTCCTCCATTTTCCTCTTGGGATCCTAGGCACGCATGCACACACACCCTGCGTGAGTTTAAGCCACCGGATCCAGGACTCAAACCGCAGTCGACTACATGGGAGTCCAGCGACATAGCCATTACGCTAACTGCTGGTCCCTTGATCTTATTTATTTTAATTTGACCAGAGAGAGACAGAGTGAGCAGGAGAGAGAGAGATGGAGTGAGAAAGCAAGCCACCAGCTCGGGACTCGAACCAAGGTCAGCCATGTGGGAGTCCAGCACCCTTAACCACCACACCATCTGCTGGCCCCTGGTTCCAGTTTTTTTTTTTTTTTTTTTTTGAGAGATTTTCACTGTAGGGCGCGTGCGCTCGCCAGACAGACAGAGAGAGACATAGAGACAGAAAGCGAGAAATCACCCCCCAGGGGGGATGGCCACGCCGCAATCCCTTCTCCTCCATTCTCCTCTCGGGATCTTGGGCACGCACGCACACGCGCCCGGCGTGAGTTTTAAGCCACCGGGTCCGGGACGCGAACCACGGTCGACTACGTGGGAGTCCAGCGGCATAGCCATTACGCTAACTGCTGGTTCCCGATGGTTCCAGTTTTTTAAACAGTTTTTACAACTGTTTATATTACAGCTTTAAATTTGCTTCTGTTAGATACTGTGCTAATAGATAGTTCCAATTTATTGTTGCAATAACTATTTATTATTATAATAACCCAATTAGTATTAAAATAACTTATGTGTTAAATGTTATCCCATCCTACTTATGGTAAAGCTGATGTTTGGAGATTACTTGCTACATTTAAAAATGTTTCTTATACTATTTTTTTTATTTATTAGAAGAAAAATATATTAATATTTTTTGTTTTGTTTTGATTACTGCAAAGTGTGGATTACTGCTTCAGTCCAATACACTAGTAGTAGTGTTGAGGATATCATTCAACTGTGTGTAAGCTCCTCTGATGCCCTAACCTGGAATCAGGATCTCCAGAAGTGGAGTCTGGGAACTGTGAATTATTTTTATTTATTTATTTATTTTGAGAGGTTTTTGCTATAGGGTGCGTGCACTCACCAGAGTGCTTGCCAGAAAGACAGAGACAGAAAGCAAGACATCACCCCCCAGCAGGGATGGCCATGCACAATCCCTTCTCCATTCTCTCAGGATCTTGGGTATACACACACACACACACACACACACACACACACACAAAAAAAAACACACACACACACACCTGGCGTGAATTTAAGCCACCGGGTCTGGGACTCAAACCGCGGTCGATTACATGGGAGACCAGTGACATAGCCATTATGCCAACTGCTGGTCCTGGAACTGTGAATTTTTAATAAGTTCTTTTTTTTTTTTTTTTTGAGAGGTTTTTGCTACAGGGCACGTGCGCTCACCAGACAGACAGAGAGAGACAGAGAGACAGAAAGTGAGAAATCACCCCCCAGCGGGGATGGTCATGCCGCAATCCCTTCTCCTTCATTCTCCTCTCGGGATCTTGGGCACGCACACACACGTGCCCGGTGTGAGTTTTAAGCCACCCGGTCCAGGACGCGAACTGCAGTCGACTACGTGGGAGTCCAGCGACATAGCCATTACGCTAACTGCTGGTTCCCAATTTTTAATAAGTTCTACCAGGTGATTCATAGTTAGCTAGCCCCAACCAGTCTGAGGCAGACTTTCAAGAATCATTGGCCTAAATTATACAGTACTTGCTTTATATAAACTGTTATTTATTAGCTGTTATCAGGAAGACTTCTGTCTGTAAATATATGTCTTGTTTTCATCCTGTGGACAAAGACTCTTTTAATTTATCACATTTGTTTTTATTGAACCACAGCATAATTCTAAGAGAGAGAATAAGTATAATGGTGTAAGGGAGGTAAGACTCATGATAGCCCTGCAGTCGAAGCTTTAACAGGGCCCTCCCTCTGTAGGTTGGAAATGGAAGATGGTTCTGGATTCTCTAACATTTTGGGGACCTATCAGGAATTCATTTTTGCAAACTGGTTTATGTACTCTATATATTTGTTCTTGTTTTTATTTTGTTTTGTTTTTCTAAAGGGTGTATGCACTCACTGGAGAGAGATTGAGAGAGACAGAGATAGAGGGAAAATGAGAAATCACCCCCTGCCCTGGAGGGAATAACCATGTTGCAATCCTGTCTCCTCCATTCTCTTCTCAGGATTTTGAGCATACACACACCCACACCCTGTGTGTTTTTCAAACTGCTGGGTCCAGAACTCAAACCATACAGTGAACCATGTGAGATCCAGTGCCTTACCTCCACACTACCTGCTGGACCATACTCACTCTGTATTTTTCTAATTCTTCATAGTTACGGTCTCCCTCCTAACAGGGACTCCTCACAACTTGTCAGGTCCTTTCAACTTTGGTTTCAAAACTGATAAATGTTCATTGTCTTCATTAAATTAAATTTTTTTCTTTTAATTGCCAGAGGGTATGTATACTTGCCAGAGAGACTTGGAGAGATAGAAGGACAGGAAGAAAGCATCCCACCCCCCCAAGTGGGGCTGATCATGCCACAATCCCTTCTCTTCCGTTTCTTCATCCTGTTGAGATTTGGGGCACTCGCACGTGTCTCTTGTGTTTTTCCAGCTGCTAAGGCTGGGATTTGAATCACTCATTGAGCCATATTGGATCCAGCTCCATGAACCACCAGGCTATGGGGCCAGCCCTTAGTTAAATTTTCTTAAAGACGGAATCTGCAGGACCCTATACTCTTTTCAAATTGGCCTTCATATAGATCCGGTGACTTAAAACTCACGTCAGGTATGTGTGTATGCCCAAAAATCCCAAGAGAAGAAGAGAGGAGAACAACAGATTGTGGCGTGGCCATCCCCCTGGGGGTAAGTTCTTGCTTTCTGTTTCTCTGTCTCTCTGGCAAGCACATGTGCCCTTATAGCAAAAATTTCTCTTAAAAAAAAACTTTTGGGGAAAACATCCCTAATGTGGTGGGTGATATTTGAGCAGAGACTTTTGTGAAGTACTAAATATGGAGTACCTCCAGGGAAAATAAAAACATAATATATGACAGGTATGTACACATATATGAAATGACTTGAAATGATTATGAAGCAACATATCAATGAGCTTATAATACCATAGTATAAATGTCCAGGTGTTTGAGGCACAGATGAAATAATCAGTGATCAAGCAAATGTGAGAAAACCTTATTTACCCATTAAACCATGCTCAAAGTTGAATGTTACTAAATTCGGCTTTCTTCCTCTATTGATGAGATTAAATCACACATATTTTGCTTGGACAAGTGACAAGTAAGAACTGTGTGGGATGTGTACTTGCTGCAGTTTCTCCTTGAGGGCGTATGTAATTGGATACCAGGATTGTAGTTATAACTTTTTTTATAATCTGGGCTTCTTTTCCCTTTTTATTATTTTTTTTTTTTAAGAGAGAGATTTTTGCTGTAGGGTGCATGTGCTTGCTGGAGAGACAGAGAGACAGAAAGTGAGAAATCACTCCCCATCAGGGATGGCCATGCCGCAATCCCTTCTCCTCCATTCTCCTCTTGGGATTTTGGGCATGCACACATGTGCCTGGTATGTGAGTTTTAAGCTGCTGGGTCCAGGTCCACTACCTGGGAGTCCAGCGATGTAACCATTATGCCATCTGCTGGTCCTTGTTTTGTGTCTTTTAAAAACATTAATTCAGACTGTCATTTCAGGATATAGCGTATTATGGGTGGAATTGTGTCTCTGTCTCCCAATACTCCACTGCACTTTATCAAATTCATATACCAAAGTTCTCAATCCCAGAATGTGACTTTATATGGAAAAACCTTTGTTGCAGGGTCAGCTAGTACAATGCTGGACCCACCCACATGGGAAGATCCTAGGTTCACATCCCAAGGCCTTCCTGGGAACACAGGGTGCCTGTGATCTGGGCTGGCTGAGACTGGGAGTGGATCACAGAATGAAGATCCAACTGAGGGTGCTGTCTGTCTCCTCCATGAAAAAGGAAATAAATTCGTTTAGAAAAAATAAAAGTTATTGCAGATGTAATCATTTTGGATGAGGTAATAGCGGAATAGGGTAGGCTCTAATCTAATATTAATGATGTCCTCATAAAAAGAATGCTAAGTGAAAAGACAAGACTTGCACACCAGGAGAACTCCACATGAAGACTGGAATTTTGCTCCACAAACCAGGGAACTACAAAGATTGCTGGGAAGCTACATAAACTGAGAGGCATGGAATGGGTTCTCCCTCACAGCTCTCAGAAAGGAACAACTGCTAGGAACAATTTATCTTGGATTTCTAGCCTCTGGGTATTTACTGTGAGACAATAAAAATCTGTTTAGCCACCTAGCTGATGATATTTTGCTACTGCAGCCCTATCTAGCCAGTTTATAGTGGAAAGGACATGGGATTTGATGTTAGCTTGGATTTTGGTCTTTGCTCAGCTGCACAGTAGCTTCGTAACTCTTGAGAAGTAATTTTCTCATGTATAGTCAAAACACAATTCAGCATAGTAACTTCTACTGTGTTAGGCTGTTTGAGAGTTAAACAAGTTACAAATGTGCGAAGTATCTGGCTTTCAACAGCCTTGATTTCTTTGGTTTTACAACATTTCCTTACATATTCAACTAATTTCAGTGACTTTGTGGAATCCTAAGTACATTTTAGAAAATTACTTCCACTAAGAATATCTTCATTACCATCTGAATTGCTGACATTATGCTGCAAATAAAACCACCTATTAGAATGTGAATTAGTTGAATATTATGTGGTTTACAAGGTGTTCCACTAGCCACCCTGCCTGCCCAGCATATTAGTGCTAAGTAAAATTATTACTTGAATATTTGTCACAACCTTCAAAAGTTTGAAAATGGCTCTTCTAAGGGAGTTGAAGTCTTAGTTTTCCTTAAGTTCACCTTACAGGAGTGTTTTCATTGATAAGCTTTTATTATTGTACTTAGTGCAGGATTAATTCACGTTTCTTTCCACATTTTTTTGGGAGGAGGTGCTGTTTTGATCCTCAGTAAATTGTTCTTTGTGCAACAAACATATCCCTGCTTCTCGATTCTGCATCTTGAGCTTTATTTTAAAGGCAAGAGCAAGGGGAAATCTATGGGTTCTCCCAGGAGGGCGAGGGTCAGCTAGATCAGCCTGGCCGGCTCCCCTCGCTCCAGTGAGCCGGGCAGCGCTGGCGCACCTTCCGCAGTCTGCAGCGGATACTGGCTCGCCTTGCTTAGCGTGGAGACAGGGCTTCCGAAGGACAGCGGGCAGTCAGGTACAGGCCGATGAGCCCTGACCGGAGCCCGCAGTCGGTTGATCCCTGCCGCTCGGCTAGGAGGCGTTGAGCTCGCCCTTTCCCAGGCCACCGCCTGGGGCGTCAAGACGTGAGCGGACGTGGGGGCGGGACTTCCGGCAACGCCGGAAGTGCGGGCGTGCAGAATTGGGGTTGTGGGGTCGAGTCAGTGAGGAAGCGCCAGGTGTCCTCAGCGTCGGCCGGTGCGTCTGGGACGCCGCGTCGTGGGGACGGCGGGCTGAGCGCGACCCGGCTGGCACCGGGCGGCGGCGTGACAGGTGAGCGCGACCGTGCGGAATGCTGCCGAATGCCGCGTCCTTTCCGGCGCCGGAGGGTGCGAGTCCGGGCGCCGGGAAGAGGAGGGTGCAGGGAGATGCAGGACCTGGAGAGGAGAAGGAGTTGGGGCGCAGGAAGAAGGACGGGGTCAGAGTGCAGAGGGTCGCGGGAAGGAGAGAGGGGTCCGAACGTGGGGGAATTGAAGCTTTGGGGCGGCTCGTGGGGAGGTGGAGGGTTCGGGCCCGCACTTCTCCGTCCTCCGGGCCTCCCAGGCCCCAGTGCCTGTGTCGTGGGAACGCGCTCGGGGGGCTTCCTCAGAACCTGGTCTTAGATGCATACACAAGTGGGGATCGCCTGAGCATCAGGGAGGTGAGCCTTGTGGGCGGTGGGCGGTGGGCAGTGGGCAGTGGTGCTGAGGTGTTAGCGGAGCACGGAGCCTGTCCACTCTGAAGATTCCCTCCTCCTCCTCCTCCCCTCCCCTGTGATAAGAGCTATTCACCGAAAACACCAAGCGGCACAACGGCAGCACATCCGTATACATGCAACGGTGCATGCAGGGACCTTGGTTTGCAGAGATTTATCATCCAACTTCAAACCTCAGCCTCCGTGATGTGCTGATTGCTTGGAAGTTTTATTACTGAAGTTCAAATGGTTTTCTCTTAAATTCAATATGTTGGCCTATAAGTTATGACCTTAAAAGTATTTAATTATTTACCTCTGAGTAAGTAAGCTAGCTCGACAGTGATTACGCACCTCGAGGATCTTTCCTCCTCTTCTTGAGAACTTCCTTCTTTCCACCTCCCTGCTGTTTTGGTTACCTTCCTGATCAAACTCTAGTCATTCCTATTTCATTTTGAAATGTGATCTCCAAACTTAAACAGACTAAATACAGGTAGACCAAAGTGGAATAGATGGAGCTGCTCTCCTATCCTCTTGTTTTGAATGTTGCCTTTCTGTTAATACTTATCTCCAGGACACTGAGTAGTGGTGGACACTGGCCACGTCTAATCACAGCAGTGTGAGCTTGGGCAAAGAACGTCTGAATCTGTTTCCTATAATGTTGGAAAGGCGGTTATGTGTGTTAAATATTACTGCAAAGTGCTGGATACCTATGTTTAGTAAATATGTTTCCTTTCTCTTTTCTAAATCTCTTTTAGTACTTCTTTTTGGTAGCTGCATTAGATTGTTTCCTTATTTTGTGATTGCCAGTGGGATGAAATCCTGTCATTTTCCAGGAGGTGATACTAAGAGTTTTAAAAAATTATCCTGTCTTGATTTTTTTAGGGAAGATATTTTACGTTTATTTAATTTAATATTTTTTCTTGATTTGAACTTACTCTCTCAGATACTGAAATCTTTAAAAGATCTTGATTGTTATTTACCCAATTCATAGTCTTTCAGTTCAGTGTCATCTACTGAACTATTATTAGTAAGCATGCATTACCGGGACCAGCAGTTAGCATAACCAGTTGGCTGGACTCCCATGTAGTCGACTGTGGTTCGAGTCCTGGACCCAGTGGCTTAAACTCACTCCGGGCGCTTGTGGGTGCGTGCCCAAGATCCCGAGAAGAGAATGGAGGAGGAGGGATTGCAATGTGCCATCCCCCCTGGGAGGTGATTTCTCCCTTTCTGTCTCTGTCTCTCTCTGTCTTTCTGGCTAGCACACGCACTCTATAGTGGAAAAAGCCTCTCCAAAAAAAAAAAAAGACATGCATTACCAACTTATCAGTAACAGAGTATTTGAGAAAGAGAAAGCTCTTCTCATCAGGGCTGGTCATGGTACAGTTCTTTTTCCTCCAATTCTCCATCCTGTCATCATATGTCTGGTGTGTTTTTTCAAGCCAACAGAGTCAGCCAGGTGGGATCCAGCTTCTTCTGCTTGGCTCCTAACTGCTGTGCTAAGGGGCTGGCCTAAAACTTTTCTTTTATCTTTTTTTAAAAGATCTATTTTTTTTTTTTTCCTAAGAGAGAGAGAAACCGGCCCAGGTAGGTCCTGTCATACTGGAATTTGTCCACTCCAGCCTTCTAGCCTGCCAGGATCTGGGGTATGCCTGGCACGTTCAGGGTGATGCAGGAACTGAACCCCAGGCCTTCCCATATGACTGGAGCATTGGGCAGCTGCACCTCTCACGTATACCACTGTGGCCAATGACAGAACATTTTAAGCAGATTAATGCTGATGTCGGATTTCTGTGGCTTCCTGTAGAAACCATGTTTTTCCCCTTCGATATTGGTCAGAAGTTGAATTTGGCATTTTAGTCCCCTAGGAATTCACTTACTGGTGTGCTATTACTGTTACTAACAGTAGTAACAATTGTAACAGTAGTGACTACTGTTACTAAAAACTCAATTGAACTTCTTGTGGACATTGTCACATTTTCTACTTTTTAATACACATGCAAATTATAGCCTTTAACCATGCTTTTATATATAATTAACATTTATAAATGAATCATTCAAGCAAGTGTTTTTCTCTTACTGAGAAAAAAATGCTTAAAATTCCGTTGGGGGGACCAGCAGTTAGCGTAATGGCTGGGTTGCTGGGCTCCCATGGAGTCGACCTCGACCGCGGTTCAAGTTCCAGACCTGGTGGCTTAAACTCATGCTGGGCACGTGTGCATGTGTGCCCAAGATCCCGAGAGGAGAATGGAGGAGAAGGGATTGCGGTGTGATCATCCTTCCTGGGGGGTGATTTCTTGCTTTCTGTCTCTCTATCTCTGTCTCTGTCTGGTGAGCACATGGCGCCCTATAGCAAAAACCTCTTCAAAAAAGAAAAAAAAAAAAGAAAATCCCAGTGGGTATGAAATAGTAATGCTTTATATATTTTTGTTTCAAATGAAAGCATATAGTAATTTGTTGATTTGCTTTTTAAAACCATTATGGTTATCTGCTTTACTTAAATTGTGTGCATTCAAAAAATGATTATTTATCTAGTTATACTTTAAATAATATTGGAAATATTAAAAAGCCATTTTAAAAAAGGCAGAAAGCTAAGTGTTGACTGATAATATGTAATATTACAATATTGCAGAAGTGGGACATTGAGATTGTTAAGACGAACATGTTTATATAATAGATTTATTAATCCGTTAAAATATTGGTGAGTGCCTGCTATGTGCAGAGCACTGTTGTTTATGAAAGCTGTATGCATATCATGTCTATCTTGCTTACAAACAATAGGGGGATAATATGTATTGGCAGCTTTTCATAGAAGCAGATAAGTTGAGCAGACCATAGGATAGTTAAGGAGATACATTAAACTCATTTATTTGAGTGATAGGGTAGAGAGGATGGATTTTTAGAGGAGATGATTATAGTTTATTGAAAATAATATTTATAGAAAATTAGGAAGTTTTTTTTTATGTAAAGTTCTTCTGTTTAATGTGGGGATCTGTTCTGTAATATTGGATACATAAGAATATTTTGATAGAAAATACATTTATGTTTTGAATTTCAGGTTTTAGTTTTAGTTTATATTTAGGTGAAATAGTGCATAGTGCTTAAAGTAGCTTATTTTTAGAGTGAAAAAGTACTGTCTTTATAGTCTTGTGATTAACTTACTAAGTGTTTTAGCCTGTTAAATTTTAACAGGTTATGAATTAGAATTGGGAACTCTTACTTCAGCAGTGTTGGTAGGATTATTGACTGATATTTACAGATCCACTTAAACCTCACAGCAACCCTTCACAGTGTCCCTCCATCTCAAGTAGACCTGCCAATCCATTGACTTTCTTCTAGAATCTCTTAATTAACTTTGTTTTTACTTCCCTTCTTCTCTAGATTAGATTCCATGGTATATCATTTGAATATGTCTTTTACAAACACTTGACTCTTCTTTGTCTCCTTTCAATGATACCAACCTGAAAACCCCTAAACTTGTTATTGAATCAAAGATTTAATTATTTTTGCTAATACTGACCCATGGCCCGCGGTTAAGATGGGCGTTTCTGTTGCCTTAACATATTTGAGTTTGGGACCAGCAGATGGTGTAATGGTTACATTACTGGACTCCCAAGAAGTTGGCCATGGTTGGAGTCCCAGACTCGGTGACTTAAAACAGTCCAGGCATGTATGCATGTGAGCCCAAAATCCTGAGAGCAGAATAGAGGGGGAGGGATTGTTGCGAAGCCAATCCCCCAGGGGCGATTTCTTACTTTCTGTCTCTGGTGAGCTCACATGCCCTATAGCAAATATCTCTCTTAAAAGAAAAAGGTTGGGGGGACTTCCACATGGCCAATGGTGATTCAAGTCCCAGACCTGGTGGATTGCTTTCTCACTTTCTCTCTCTCTCTCTCTCTCTGTGTCTCTCTTTGATCAAACTGGAAAATAATAATAATTAATATATTAAATCTTAAACTAAAAAAAATAAAGATATTTCAGTTCTAGGACTTCCCTCCATGGAGGACTTCATATGGAGGTGAGGCTAAAACTTCATAGGCCTAGTGCAGACTGCTAGAGAAAAGGTAGAGAATGTGATTGCAGAGACAAAAGTAAAATTACAACAAAGTTGCAGGAAAAAATTTTGACAGATTAACAGCAGGAAAAAATGTAAAGATATTGGGAACCAGCAGTTAGCGTAATGGCTATGTCGCTGGACTCCCACATACTCGACCGCAGTTCGCGTCCTGGACCCGGTGGCTTAAAACTCACACCGGGCGCGTGTGCGTGCGTGCCCAAGATCCCGAGAGGAGAATGGAGGAGAAGGGATTACGGCGTGACCATCCCCTCTAGGGGGTGATTTCTCGCTTTCTGTCTCTATGTCTCTCTCTGTCTGTCTGGCAAGTGCACGTGCCCTATAGTGAAAAAAAAAAAAAAGCCTCTCAAAAAAAAAATTAAAGATATTATAAAAATAAGAAACTCTAGAACCAGTTTCTGTTGGGGTGTAAAGACAAGACAGTAGGTGAAGTAAATTTGTAACCCACATATGTGACAAATAATCCATTCCATAGTATATATATAAAGAACTCTTAAAAACTCAGTAATAAATAGTCTGGGGGCCAGC